GCTATTTGCCTGGTTGCCGGAGAAGGAATACCAGAGAGAATATAGAGAAAATATAGAGAGAAGTATCATTAGCATATGCCAACATTTTATTAGTAATGCCGGACCACATATCGCTTGTAAATAAAATGAAGAGCAAAGCGCCAAGAACACTACCATGAGGAACCCCAAAAGGCACATGGGAATACGAGCTAAAACTACCATTAACATGAGCACGCTGTTATCTACCAGTCAAAAAAATTGTTAAAATACTTTAATCTTTACCACTAACACCGACAGACCGCAGCTTAAAAATCAAATCCTTGTGATTAACATTATCAAAAGCTGAACTAAAATACAGAGAGATCAGCCTTGACTCATGATCCTTATCTAAATCAGACTGCATTTCATGCAGCAACATAAGCAATGCAGCCGAGTCCCTTTCTAAGACCAAACTAAGTCTCTGGAAGAAACGGTCTCAAATAAACAGAAAGACGTTTGAGAAGTGACCGCGAATACCGCACGGTAAACGTTTTCGCGCATAGAGACAACTGCCTTAAGTACAGCTCCATTTCTGTGTTTGTTTTATGGCTTTCAGACCTGGAAAATGAAGCCAGCGGAAGCAGCAGTTAGAATTAAGGCTTTCGAAGCCAAGGTATAATTTTCGAAGGGACACAACCATTCAGAGAGAGAATACTGAAAAGTCTGGCATGAAATTCAAAGAACTCGTGGAAAAGGTGGAAGAATTAGAAACCAAGATTGGCAACAGTAGTCAGATCGAGGCAAAGAATCTGCAAGAAAAAGTTGATGAAGTAATCAGAGTATAGGAAACTGTTAAGCAGACTGAAAGCAATTTTTTCAAGCAGCCAGTCTGGAAGAAGCAAAAAAGATCAAAGCTACTTATACTGATGTATCTAAAGTAAAGTAAACTGTAAATGAAATGGAAACAAAGAAAAAGACAGAAAGGAAGAAATAAAAACACAGCTTGCAGAGACGGCAAAGAGAACTGAATTTAAGTCACACCTTGGGTAACACGCAAGGAATATTACAAATTTGACTGATGTAAACAACATCAATATGACATAGTCATATTGAGACATGAAGAAAAAAATGTAGAACATGCAGCCAAAAGGGGTACCGAAAGATTATATAGAAATAGTTTATACAAATACAGACGGTTTATGTTCGAAGTTACTAGATCAGTTATTGAAAATAATAAACCAGATGTAATATACATCACTGAATCCAAATTGGATCCATCCGTAGACGATGTAACATTGGGAGTCAGAGCATCGGCGTAGGGGCATTTAAAATTTAGGGGGGGCTGCAAATTTTCTGCCCGAGTGAAAGAGGAAGAGAAATTTCACCTGCCAGAAAATTTGTGATGAATGCCACCAGTGGCGTAGATAGACCTTTAAGGCTAAACAGCCATTTTGTCGGAAAATTTCTGCACTTGTCGGAAAAATAACGATGGTTTTCTGTTTCGTTTAGTTCTAGTGGCCTTATATTATGTTCAAAATAATAAAAAATGAGAATTAGTGTCAAATTTTTGTCGGGATATCTTCATTTCTCGCCCCCTCTATGAATTTTCCTATCTATGCCCCTGCCCATTTTGGAGAAAAGATAGTGGAAGTGGAGGAGCGTTAGCAATATTAACGAGGAAAGGAATGATTATAAAGGAGATAGAGATTCAACAAGATCATAGAGTAGAACTAATGGCAATTGAGGCAGAAACAAACGGAGTAAATATAATAATAACCACAGCGTACAGCTACACAGAAAACTATCGTTAGGAGGGGTGTCGAAACATTTAATAATGAGCATAACCTTATGTACGGAAGGGTTGGTATTTTGGGGTTCGAATTGGTCTCGTTCTGTTTCATAATGTATCGAATAGTTCCGGATTTCCGACGGAGGATTTCCTGTGACACTATGATCTTATTCCCGAAAAGGATGTAATATGCAATATGTAGACAAAACACAGGCCTTCTAAGATACAATAATAATCTGCGACGAGAAAACGTTTTTTCTTTTTTTTCTGAAGGCACCAACATGTGAGATATGTATGTATGGCGTCAACAAAACACCAGGTAGGTAACGACACTACCCCCCTTCCCTCCTATTTTCAACTTCCCTTCGCATCAATATGTTTGTTTTGCTAGAAATGAACGTTAAAACATTTTCATATATATTTGTATCTAATGCAGTGTTATCATTTAACAGATTTAAACTAGATAATGTGATTTACTGGCAGCAGATATGATGAAATCCTTGAGGATGTTAAAGCTACTCTACCTTATCCAGAAAACAGTCCCCATCCATGCCATACTTTGACAGCCGAATTGGTGGCGCTGTGCCTTGGCGCTTGAACTCGGTTTTGGCATTACGAAGGAGGGAGCAGAAAACATTAATCTTAAATATATTCACAGTATCTTATTTTCCTTGTATGGATATTATTGGAACACGTCATTATTGGAATACTCATTAGGTAATATAATAGCAATAATGCGTGTGAGAGGCATAATTCATATCACTCCTCTAGCATTGCCTAGCGCTTGTTTTCTCTCGTATTATGACGATTGACCCAACATTAAAACAAAAGTATATGAAAGCTAATTGATTAGTAACAAAGTATCATACAGTATTATAAAATACCTTGCGTATTTAAAGTCTCTTTCTTCGTGATTTACCACACATACCCAAAAATAGTTGGGAAATCATCTCATCGTAAGTAAGGAAAGAAAAGTACAATTACAAAATAGGTAGTTATTGAAGCTTTAAAAGATTTCTTTGATAGCATAAACTGAAAAACCCTCCTGAACGAAAAGGACCTTGATATGCAATATTCTAAATTGTCTATAAACAAAGAATAGAAAAATTTGTATCAATATTCAAAACCGAGGCAAGAAATGGCCAACAGTGGTTCAATGACAAATGCAAGAAAATGAGAGAAAACAAACAGCTCCTTTGAAGAATGTTCAGAAGACAAAGATCTCAGGCAGCGTATGAAAAGCAGGAAGAAATGAGTATACCCAAACCATGAGGAGGGCGAAATTAGACTTTGGAAAGGATATAATCAATAAATAACTAAAGCTCTTCTTTAACTACATAAATAGTAAGAGTAAAAGTAGAGATGAAATCAGTGCCATCAAAGACAATAACATCGTTTATACTGAGGAATATTAAATATGTGAAGTCCTTGATAATAAATTTCAGTCGGTGTTTGTTCAGGATCCATACTTTAAAATGGCAAGTAACCGTACAAACGTGAATCAGAATATCGTAAAAATCAAACTCAAAAAGAATTAAATAAAAGATCCATTGAAAGGATTAGACAAGAATAAAATAGAGGGACCAAATGAGATATCTAACTGGGTTCTGAGGCAATGTGTCGAAGAATTATGTGATCCGTTATTGTTAATATTCCAAAATTCAGTGAGACAAAGAAAACTACCTAAAGATACGTAACTTGCCAATATCACACCTTTATACAAGAATGTCGACAAACAAACCCGCTAAATTATAGGCTAGTTTCGTTAACTAGTGTAATATGTAAGAAAGGATAATTAGAAAATAGTGGGTTGAAGTACAAGGAAAAACACGATATGATATCAAATAAACAGTTTGGTTTTAGGGAAGGAAGGTCATGCATAGAGTTTCTGAAATACTACAAGAAAGAGACGGCTGGGTGGATTTAAGAAGGCATTTGATAAGATGTTTCATAGAAGACGGTTATGGATATTAGAACACCTAGGTGGAGTGAAAGGCTAACTCCTCGAATGGATCGAAGACCTTCTTCATGAAAGACAGATGAGAACCGTAATTAGAGGGAAGCACTCTACATGGCGACGAGTAACTAGCGGAGTGCCTCAAGGATGGGTTTTGGCGCCGATTATGTTTACTATTTTCATAAATGATTTAGGGTCAAACATATGTTTGTAGACGACGCGAAGTTGCAAAAAAAGGATAACAAACAATCCCTCATGCTAATGTCTCCAAAGTTTTGGAATTTGGAATTGTACTTGGAAAATGATATTTAACACCAATAAATGCCATGTAGTCAGGTTTAGAGAAAATAAAAAGTGATCAGTATACCAATACAAGTTAAGAGACGCAAAATTAAACCAAATAGATAAAAAAAAAAAAACTTTGGAATAACCATAAACAGGAACCTAAGCCTAAAAGATCATATGAAAGACAAGGTTCATAAAATGCTAGGGCTGATTACCAACATGAAGAGGGCATTTTTGCATGTGGACGAAGACATGGTAAAGAAGGTCAATACAGCCATCATAAGGCCTAATTTTGAGTACGGTGCAGTGGTATGAAGTCCACACTCGAAAAAGGGATATAGATAAACTAGAAAAAGTTCAAAGAGAAGCTACAAGATGGACACCTACTTTAAGAGATATGAGCTACGAAAAAAATACTACAGAAAATAGGTCTTACTACTCTGGAAGAAAGAAGAAAGAGAGGGGACACCAAAATGATGTTCATCTATATTACAGGGAGGGTGAAGTTAGACAAAGATGACATTAACAATTTGGACACACGAAGTTTGAAAGTTGAAAGTAAAAAGAGGCGAGAAAGATGTCAAGAAGTTCAGTTTCCCAAACAGAAGTATTGAAACATGGAGCAAACTTCCAAATAACGTTGTGTGCCAAAAATGTACATCAATTTATATATATATATATATATATATATATATATATATATATATATATATATATATGTGTGTGTGTATATATGTATGTATGTATATCACTCAAAAATATTTTATGTTAATGTAGTTGGAGAAGTCTTGCAATATATCATGGTTGAACTTTATCAGTTCACAAGAAAACAAGAAAAGATGCAAATTATCATCTCATCCCAAGAATAACGTATCATCCATATTTTTTGTCGCTCTTCTTCGCCGTAACACATCGGTTCTTAATCTCACAAAGTCGTTTTTATTTTTTCTGGTCTCCTCGCTGTTGCCATAATGATTAACCAATGTATTCATTATGGAAAGAAAACGCAAGTCAGATTTGAAATATTTAATTCGTAATTCATGAATCGATAATATGACCTCAGTGACATACAATAACACATACTTGTAAAAGGGATAGAAATAGATATCGTACAAATGACAGTGAAATGCGGAGTCATGTGCAGAACCCTTATCACCGACAAACAACCACAAGAAACATGCTGTATCATCATGGAGGCAGGCTGTTCCTACCTCAAAGATCATTCATTAATCAAGGTATTCACGTATTTCTCTCAAACCTTTAAATCACAGTTAGATGAGTTTTTAAAGAGTGCTGTCTGTACCGGTCCTATCATCTGTTTCATCTCACAAAGCCGATTTCTTGTTATCGTTCTGATTCTATTGACTATTGTGTGCTTTTCAAGACAAACCATCACTTGGCAATTCAGACTTATAATCCGACGCCAAGATATGAGAGTTTGAAAGGAAACATGAAATCTATAAAGATGAGAATCCCCCCCCCCCTCTACTCCTCACTACTGCCCCGACCCCACGCGTTTGCTCATAACTCTGATAACATTGTTGCCAAACATTAGCGACGTGTCGAATACACGGTTGCCTTGCTCGTCCAGCAAAGTGTCCAGGTCAATAGTGTATCTTGTGTCGTAACCTCGTTGAGAGAAGATTCTAGCGGAGATGGCGTTTGTGGGTTGTGTGTACAGCAGGTGGCAGTCCTTTCCCTTGGCCAGGCGCTCACTCCTCTGTGAAAATATGGTTAAACAAACTCGTCATCATATAGTAACGTTATGGAAATTCTCCAGCGTAATATATTAAGCTGGTCACTAATACGAAATACTAGGCTTCCAGTGGTAATGAAGTAATTGTGAGGGCCGTAAAAAAAGGAGGTTGAAAGTGACGGAATGATGGCCTTGAAACTTCTTACACATGTTTTACAAAACTAAGTTATCGAAGATAAGTATCGAGTTTACAAACACTTTCAGAAACCATATACGCCGTGGCGTTAAAATAACGGAATGCGGAACGGAGAAGGAGGGAGTGGGTGAGTGAGGGAGGGAGGGAGGGAAGGAAGGAGGGAGGTAGAGAGAGAGAGAGAGAGAGAGAGAGAGAGAGAGAGAGAGAGAGAGAGAGAGAGTGGAGGGATGGAGGGAGAGAAAGAGTGGAGGGAGGGAGGGAGGGAAAGAGAGAGAGAGAGAGTGGAGGGATGGAGGGAAAGAGAGAGATTGGAGGGAGGGAGGGAAGGAAAGAGAGCGAGAGAGAGTGGAGGGAGGGAGGGAGGGAGGGAAAGAAAGAGAGAGTGGAGGGAGGGAGGGAGGGAAGGAGAGAGAGAGAGAGAGAGAGAGAGAGAGAGAGAGAGAGAGAGAGAGAGAGAGAGAGAGAGAGAGAGATAGAGGAGAGGGATGGAGGGAAGATGAGAGAGAAAGAGAGAGGAAGGAGGGAGGGAAGGAGAGAGAGAGAGAGAGAGAGAGAGAGAGAGAGAGAGAGAGAGAGAGAGAGAGAGAGAGAGAGAGAGAGAGAGAGAAGAGAGAGAGAGAGAGAGAGAGAGACAGAGAGAGAGAGAGAGGGAGGAAGAAGAAGAAGAAGAAGAAGAAGAAGAGAGAGAGAGAGATAGAGAAAGGAAGAGATTGAAATAGATAGAGAGAGATTGAGAGAGAGAGAGAGAGAGAGAGACTATACTACTATACTTATACTAGATATTCTACTTCAAAAAGGGAAGGTTAAGTGAGAAAGAGAGGGGGGGGGAAGGAGAGAGAGAGAGAGAGAGAGAGAGAGAGAGAGAGAGAGAGAGAGAGAGAGAGAGAGAGAGAGAGAGAAGAGAGAGAGAAGAGAGAGAGAGAGAGAGAGAGAGAAGAGAGAGAGAGAGAGAGAGAGAGAAAGAGAGAGAGAGAGAGAGAGAGAGAGAGAGAGAGAGAGAGAGAGAGAGAGAGAGAGAGAGAGAAAGAGAGAGAGAGGAGTGAGAGCGAGATAGAGGAGGAAGAGAGAAGAGATATATATAGAGAGAAACAGACAAGCATACAAATAAAAAGAGACGTAGCGGAAAGAAAGGGTTAAGCCGAGGTGGAGACAAGGAAGCGAAAGGCTCATCCCGCCCACAGTACAAGGCGCGGTACCTCCACCATGGCCTTCGCCAGCCCTCGCCCATTATAACCGGTGTGCACGGTGAGGATGTCGCTCTTCATGATGCGCTCCACACCTGGGTCCTCGAAGACGTCCACGGCCTCCCACAGGTGGTTCAACATATTGATCACCTTCGCCTGAGAATACAAAGGGAGCCCGTCACTGCAGATGGCAAAGGGCGGGCCGTAGTGATAACATGTGCCTGTCCTGTATAACGTGACACTGGCTAGTAAGTGTGTACAAAGCATTGTTAATTTATTGTCTCTTTTTCAGTGTTACGTGTTGCTTATAGCCACATTATGCTGAAAGTAAAATACATGTTTATTGCTGTATCACTGCGTTGACTGATCTCATTTAACCTTATCACGTAGGCTTATCGTTAAGGTATTCATCTACATTAATTTCCATACATTTAACTCCAGTACCTTTTACTGAAGTGTACGACTACCTCTGTTCGCTGTGTGTTGACTCACCACTTCCGGCGGGATAGAATCAGGCGGAGGTTCTGTCTTCGGCTTTGAAG